ATATAGCTCTGTTGGTAGAATGCTTACCTCGTATGCACAAGGCCCCGGGTTCAATCCCCAGCACCACAAAAAAAAAAAAAAAAAAAAAAGAATTACCCTCTCTTCTTCAATCTTTCCATGTCACCTTCTTCAATCTTTCCATGTCACCATTTTCACCATAAGCGATTGACTAATACAGGACAGTAAATGGGGAAAGACATGGTGGGATTCCTTCCTCTTTCATGTTTCTTTGAACACCATAGCTTGTCTGAGAATCATGGTGAGAACCCTGCGTGCATTCACTCACACTCTTCAGCACACAGTGTGTGAGCACCTGAACCACCCGAAACTGCCACCAAAGTCTAAGTCAACTGAACTGTTTCACATAGCACATAGAAATACCTTCATATTATTAACTTTTAAGATTTGTCTGTGTGGTGAGAGGTAGAGAGGAAAAAAAGACAATGAGAGAAACACAGAAGTGAAAGAGGTGATTTTTTTTAGCCAGTGTGTATCCACCCTATGTCTAGTCCCAAGGGTTCTAAACCAATTAAAGATGAACAAAGCTCCTGACCCATGTGGCTTTGTGTGGCTCTGCAGGGTTCCTTTCCCTTACCACCAAGATAATTCAATACACAAATATTTATTGAGTTTTACCATATGCTTGCTGGTACAATGCCAAGATCAGCCGAGGAGACAGGATAGAAACTGAAATCTGGCTGTGAATCAGGCTTTTTCCCTGGGAACCAGGATATTTAGCAAAATCAAATAAAAGGCTTCTGAAAAGTATAAGAGAAATTCTGTGCAGGAGACCATATTGCCATTGTTGATGGGCACAATTACTCATGCCCTCGCCCTGAAGCTGCCTTTGGCCGTGCCTCTTTCAAGATCAACTACAGTAAGACATGGGGTATATGAAGAGGGCTTTGGCTTTCTGTGTCTTGGACACTTCAATGCTAGAGAAGTCACACCAAGAGGAGCAGGAAGAATTGCCACAGTTTACCTCAGGGGCAGGTGTTCAGGCTCATGCTGAGATGAACAGGCCCCTAACAGCCTCACTGAAAAAATAGAAAAGAAAAAAAAATACATTTTCATATTAATTGTGAACATATTCTACATGTTTCTGTGTTCTAGGAGTGAAGAAGAAATGGTCTATTCACATTCAGTACAGAAATATTTTCAGAAGCTACTTGGCACTAAGCTTGGTGTTGCAACAAAAATAATAAATAAGAAAGAAATTAGTTTTTTTCTGGAGAGTACTCAAGGCAGAGGGAACATTTAGATAAAGGGCAAATACAATACAACATGACAAGTATACACAGTTAAGTTTGGGTGCTATGAGACATCTTAGGGGCCACCACCAAGCCCAGTGCTCAGACATTTAGTATCTCTACTATTAAAAATATTATTTGTGTATCACTAAATTCATATATTAAAATCCTAACTCTGAATGTGACTGATAGAATTAGAAGGTAGAGTTTTGGGTGTGATTAGATTATGAGAGCAGGCCCTGCCGCCGTCTGGCTGGGCACAAATCACTGAGCCGCCACAAAGCACTTGTCAAAAAGGAAGCTTTATTGCCTGAACTCCACCACCACTCCATGCACACTCCCTAGAAAGGCCCTAGAGAATGGGATTAGTGTCATTATAAAGAGACCCCAGGAGCTTTCTGACCTCTCCATCCTGTAAAGATGCAGCAAAAAGATGACCATCTATGAATTAGAAAGTGAGACCTCACCAGACACAGTATGCCAGTGCTTTGAGCTAGGACTTTTTTGCCACCATAACTGTCAGAGATTGAGTTGTTTAAAAGCTACCCAATCTACGTGAGTTGTTATAGCATCCCAGACTGACCAAGACAAGCTCCTAGCATGGTGTGAGTCCTTAATAAATATTTAGCAAGTGTGTGAATGAATGAAGAAATGAGGACAAGACTACTTAGAGGTGTTGATAAATTTAGTCATAAAATGTGTATTGGGAGTTATCAAGATTATTCCATGCAGAAGGAACAAGAGCAAAATCCCAAGTGCAAAAAGAAACAAGACATGTCCAGAAGAGAGAGAGAGAGAGAGAGAGAGAGAGAGAGAGAGAGAGAGAGAGAAGCATGGCCAGCCTGTGGGTACAGAAAAAGAGAGGTGAAAGATGTGCCCCAAGAAGTGAGCAGGAGTGAGGCAGAGTAGAGGTGCATACATCTCACCAGAGGGACTGGCCCTTACATAAAGGGAAATGTACAACCCTTGAAAGGTTGGAAGGAGGAAGGAGAAATGATCTGATTGAGCAGGAAGTGAGCAGGAAGCTCATTCTGGCTTCAGAGTCGAGTATGGAATACAGAAAGCTAGTATATGCAGATGCTAGTTGAACCTTGCTGTACTCCGGATTCTTATCAGAAATAATGGCCTCCTATGGAAGCTGTGGTGAGAATGGAAAGAAGGGAAAATGTTTGAGGGACACTTAAAAAGAAGAGATATAAGGATTTCTGGCTGCTTGGGTATTAGGATGTGAAGCAAATAGGAGTCAGATTCAGATCTGGGCAACTAATCAATAATAGCAACATTTGCTGATCTAAGAATCTAACACATCATCATCATCACAAACAAAAGGATCATTCTTGAGGAAACAAGAGAAGGAAAATTCAGTTAGGAACATGGTAGCAAGATTACTAAGGGAAATCCACACTGAGATATCCAATGAGTCAATTGATTACATAAGTTGTGATCTGTGAAATTTTGTGCTAGAAAATTATAAAGATGCTGTAGTTTCATATATGTTAATGCCAGAAAATTAGAAGAAACTCACCTGCAGATATTGTAAAGTGAAGATGGAGTAACACCACAAATGCAGTGGAATGGATGCAAATCTGAGAGAACATGAAGAAATATAAAAAGGAAACAGACGTCTACTTGTGTCCCAGAAGCCAAGGAAGAAACTGCAGGAAGAGAGCAATAAGGTGAAATACATGGTGAAGACTAATAAAATAAGAATATGTTTATGTTCAGTGAATTTGGGAGCAAGACCAATGGCTCCCTGGAGAGAGGCTGCCCAGTCACTACCTGGGATGGCATCGGATCCATCCATGTGTTGCCCTCCATGCTGGGCGAAGTTGCTGGAATCCACCTACTACGGCAAGATAAACGTGAGCTCTGCTTCCAACATCCAGACTCCTGGACAGGACCTAACACCACCTGTGAAATCATTTGTAGGGTCTACAGGCACACTGGGCATCTAGAAAAAGGAGTGGATTGCCTGGAGATAGTGGAAGCATTCTGAAATTTATTAAGCAAATATCTGTATTCTCTTTTCAGTAGATAGCAGACAGGAACAAAATTTGCCTTAGACATCTGAGTTTATAAGCTTCTCGTGATGTGGCAGCTGTAACTGGCAAATCTAGTTTACAGATGCGAGAGTTGACTGTTTTTCACTGTTGGCACTTGAGTGGCAGTGATGGAATATTTACTGAGTGGTAGCTCTTAGCAGATATTTGAGTCATAAATATTCATGATTGGAATGTTGTAACTTAGGAGATGTCTAACGATACTGGATTCAAGGAATAAGGGAGAAAAAACCAACTAGGGTAACTATGTCATGTCCAATGCTCACAAAATTTGTGAATTTTTCAAAATTTCTTCCAATTTCTGGGCTCATTTTTTCTGTTCCCCTTACAATTTCCCTTCCAATTATATGTTTCACACATGACAATCAAGGGGTCTAGGGGTCTCTACAGGGAATCTTTTAGATACCAAGGGCCTATGTAGTCAGGGCCTGCTATGCAGTTTCTCTTACACACACAATTTCTCTCACATACCTAAGTTTTTCTTGACTTTCTTCCTCTCTGCCTTATAATTCTCTGTTTATTTCTCTTTCTTCCACCATTCCTTCTCTCTCTCCCTCCTTTCCTCTTCCCCTCCTCTCTCCCTCCTTCCATACAACCATCCTTTACCTGTTCTTCCTCCCTTTCTTTCCCATTCTACATGTCTACACATTAACTTTTTTCACCTCTCTCTCTCTCTCTCCCTCTCCCCGCTTTCTCCCCCCACTTCCCAATTCTCTCCCCCCACTTTCCCATCAGGATGAGTTAAGTACACAGGAAGAAATAGAAAATAGAAGTTATAATTTAATAAATTTTAAGTAAGACTAAAACACACAGAAAACATTTTTTAAAATTGCAACTAGGAGACAATAAAAAGGAGGAATAGAGTGTCCCAAAGAAATGTGGGAAGATGAGCTACTTACTCTGAGAAATTGCAGTTGACATTGAGCCAGAGAAAAGTATCATTAAACATTAATTCCAAAGTATATCATATAATGAAGTAGGTCAGTAGTCCCTGAATGAAAATATTCCATGATCACAGCTTCAGAAATTCAATGAAGAATATCAAATATACCAGGACAAATAAGATGTGGGAATAATCCAGAGAAAATAGAGAAGATTAGAAAAAATAAAACCAACTTGAAGGTAGTATGAGGAAGGTAGTATGCAGTTTTAGCTGGAGTTGCTTGGAATAGAAAGAGGGAAGAATGGCCCAACAAATAAAAGATTTTGAGACACCCCAAATTAAGGTTAAGGAAGAAAAAAACATCTCCCAAGACAGAAAATGTGCTTTCCTAGTATACCTTTGTGATCACCAGTGTCCACACTTGCAAATGCTATTGCTGACTACCATCTGTTTTTTATTTTAATTCATCCTTGAGTTTCAAGTTTCTGACTCTCTACAAAATGGCTCTCATTTCTTCCTAATGTGAATTATTACTGCTGACTCCCTATTTGAGTCAGCACAACACAGCTTCCTAGATTTTGGACAAGGATAAATGCCCAATTACATGCTTTTCTCCTTCTTGTCTAATCCCTGGATGGACTGCACTTCTGAGAAATTCCATTATAACTCAATGTTTCTATATTGGAATAGATTTTCCAACAGGTGCGAATACTGTCAAGTTAAATACTGACTCTGAGGGTCACACTGCCTGTGAAACTTCTATGTAGACACCAGCTAGTAGTCAAGAAAAAAATAAAGTTGGTAGGAACAACTGACTTGTATCCAAGGTAGATTTCAATTACATCTCTCAGCACTCATCTTGATAATTTATTTTCTCCCCAACCCATCTTTTAAATGTTAAATTTAACTAGATGGTTTCCAAGTTCTCACAATGTTTCCATGCCTTCATGGTAGGTAGTATATTTTCCAACGGCTGGACTTTAAACTGGGTCTTGTGACTAGCCTTGGCCAACACAATGGTAGCAGATGTGACATAAATAGGAATTTAAAGTGGGTTTGCATCATTTAACTTGTCCTGGTTGTGCTTCTACCTCCTTTCTCCATTGGGAAGTATATGCTCAGATGGCTTCTGGACCATGGAGCCAATCTAGACCCAAATCTACAACTTGAAGTTCAGCCTAATTTAGCCCAATCTCGACCAGTTAAACCTCAGCCAATTCACAGATGCCGGGGCTAGAAATAAGGAGTTTATTGTTGGAAGGCAGTTATATTTTGAGATGGGTTTTTATATAATGTCATTTTAACCATAGTTGACTAACACATTGTAAGTGATCAAGTTATGCATTCCTAAACTTTTAAAGCAGAGACCCATTAATGGAGTTCAGTGACACAAATATTACAAGTAGTATAGTCCTTATTTCCTCTCCTGACCCTCTGTTTAAGAACTAGGGTATGTTGTGCAGTAGAGCACTAGGGGGAGCCTTCATCTTCTCTCACCAGGGCTAAGGGTCTACCCTTGCTGGGCAATTTCAGTGACCAGTTCCCAGGGAGATTCTGAGATGGCCTGGGTTGTCACACAGACAAGAGTCAACTTTAACAGACACATCCATCCAACAAAAATCTCTGTTCATGAAATGGAGCATCTGCTTATACTTAATTTCTAATTTTTGACATGAAATATAGTGCACATTGTGCAAGGAAGAGAGCGCAGTTCCAGACTGCTCCATTTATCCATCTACCATTATCCAAAACACTTGGACTCTCCTGGAATTACTTTGTTCTTCTTACTTGTCCAACAAATACCTTCATTTTCTTTCTTGTGTATCCAATAAGAACTTTTAAATTCCCTTTGAACTCCTTGTACAGTTATTCCACACAAGTTTCTATGGTTAATGGAAGATAATCAGACGACACCAGATCACTCATTAGCTATATGACTTTGGACAAGATAATTAAATGCTGCAAGTCTTAGTTTACTATGTATAAAATGGAAATGATAATAGTTTTTGCCTGCTAGGGTTGTCTTGAGAATTAAATGAGAAAATTCATCAGAACTCCTTGGCACAGTCCCAGTCACATAATAAGAGCTTAATAAATGGAAGTTATTATGATGTTGATATCTTTCTGGGTAGAACGTTCACATTTTTTCTCTCAAACCACTGTCTATATACATTCATCTGTCTTATGACATTCTGGAGATTCTTCTAGAGTGGGTTGCTTCCGATTTGAGTAACTCTAATGATACATTTTAGCATTCACAAACAACCTGGAATTCTAATTATAGTAGACATCAACAAGGAAATTTCTAGAGGATGAGCAATTGCGATAATTTTGAAATTCATTACAGAGAGACTAATGGGTATAATGATGAAAAGGGTTGGATACGAGGAGAGAGAGTCCCAAGTTTAAATCCCTGCTGTTTTGAGTACTAGTAATAACAGTGTGATCTTTAAAAAAAAATTAATGAATCTTTGGGTTTTCCCCATCTTTAAACAGGGTCGTCATTACCATTTAATAATAGAAGATATATAAACTCCTTGGTACATTGCAACTTCTCAGTAAACAGACCTTAATTTTTTTCTGCACTTATTAAAGAGCCAAGGGAAAAATGAAGATTGGGTAGCCAAATTTGTTTCTCTTTCTCTGTGCATATCTGTTCTTGAAACACGATGAATTCCTCCAAATCTCATCAAAGGAAAAAAATTGAGCGTAAAAAAATAATCAACTTGAGTTGGGAGCACTTACTTCAATAGCTGACAGTCACTGTGCCTGATTAAAAAAAAACAAACAAACAAACAAAAAAAACCTTTACAATGTCATCAGAAAAGAATCAAATGCTTCCTAATTCCAGGGTTGTTATTTCACAAGGAGTGGAGTCCAAGTTGTACTCACAGGAGAACGATGCCTTCATCATTATTCCTGTGCAAAAAGTGCTTGATTTTAAACATTTCACATGGAGGCCAGTTATAAGCCTCTCAGGGGGAGACTGCACAGGCATCAGAGGATCTGCTTAGGGGCTGGAGCCTCCCACCTGCCCACTGTGGGCATTCACACCTACAAAACGTCTAAAATTCAGGGGTTTAAAAACACAAAGGAGGAACAAAGGACCAAAGGAGCCAAAACTTCTACTTACAAAAGGTAATGCTTTCCAAAGGGGAAGAAATGGAATTTCTAGAGAATGCAGCTTGGTGTGAGCAAGGGGCTGTTAAAGGGGATTAGGGCTACCTACTGGGGCAAAGCAGAGAAGTATACATCCCCGTCTAACACTCTAATAAGACTATATATATATCTCCTATTTCTTCTCTTATGTAATACATAGTCAAATTTGATATTAAAAAATCACAAATTCCCACCTGTACTGCTCAGGAATCTCTGTTCAGTACTATGAAGAAATTTAGAGAAAACTTACACAATCTCCTATCTGGCAAATAGGGCTCCAGAGGTCTCCTTGCAGATTACTTAGGGGAAAAACTCTCAGTGCCAGACTCCACAAGCATGAGTCATAAGGAGGCCAATTTTTCTAATCCTCTCCTCTTCTTCTCTTGTCCTCCCACGTCAATAGATCTGGGGACACAACACAGCATAGAACAAGAAAAAAAAAGGGAGGCCTATTACACTCCATTGGCCTTAAGTGGTCTCATTTATTAAATAGATCCATTATGTAATTCTCAGATAAAACTACAGTCAAAAACACATTACATTTTAGGACAGAACTGAGTGTATAAAGAGTCTCTTACTTAATCTCTGAGCTCTTATCTTGGGGCTGACAAAGCCCAGTGGAGTCATTTTGAAAGTGGCCTGAAGACGAGACCCGTGCTGCAGGCATCAGCTCCCCAGGGGGACCAACAGCATGAGCGACACTCGGTGCGTTTGGTAGTCCAGGTGGATTAGGTCGTGCTCCAAATCTCAGTGTCTCCACACAGTAAAGGTTTATTTCTCACTGGTTCAGATGCCGACTGCAGGTCTGCTCTTTCCATTCACTGACCCAGATGAATGGTCTCTGCCATTTCATAGCTACAAGGCCTGGAACACTTACCTTTCTAAACAGCAGGAAGAAGAGTGTCTCAGATCAGGCTACCTGGAAAACAGATGGAGATGAAGGCTTGTGTGCAGGAAGGTTATTGGGAAGTGAACTCAGAAGGGATATCTGCGAGGGAGAGAGCGGAATGAATTGCACAGAGAATTGTTGAACTGTGATGCGCTAACAACCAACGTCTTGGCCAGAGTGACAGGGTGTTCTGGGGTCATAGTAGTTTTTCACAGTTGCTTCACCTTAACATAAGAGGCCTATGTCTTTATTATCTTAACTTCAACCAGTCATTTGACAGAACTGACTCCAGACAGAGGGCATGACTTTGGGGTAGTTGTTTTCTTCTACTGAGAACAACTCCTGGAAGCAACTCAGCTGAGACCTTTCAGCAAAGACTTCTCCCAGCAGCCAGAGGAATGACAGTCTCCTTAATCGCAGACTGGGTAGCACACACAGCACCCACGACAAAGGGAACAGGGCAGGTGTACATACATTTTACTGCCTTCAGGTGGGAGAGACATATGCCTTTTTTTTTTTTGCTTTCATTTTCACGTCTAGTGGTGTTTACCCTGCTGTCAGGTCTTGGTACACGTGAGGTTTTGTACTTTGTACCCAGTGACTTCGTAATAACCTATCTGGTTTCTGCCTCTGATTTTCTGGAAAATATATGAAGCTCCTTTTCTCCCAACTGCAAGACTGGATCTTTCTTCTGAGATCTTCTCTGTGCATCAAGTAAAGGAAGTTATTTTCTTTTCATTTTATGACCCAGTTCAAAGAAACAAGCAAACAAAAAAATCGATCAATCAATCAATAAAATAAACATAAAAAGCTCATCCCCTATTGCTGATGGAGCCCTTACCTTATACCATAGTGTCTCCCAGGGTTCCCCTCATCAATTCTCTCATTAATTCATAGTCCTAAACTTCACATTATTCTAATAGGTCCTATTACATGGCATTCAGTTCTTTTTAAATTGCCTACTCTCATACTTCACAACATCACAATAAACATTCTTGCCTAAGACACCTGCCAAACTACATCTTGTTGGATATCCCAGATGGTTCTCCCTAAAACCTAGCTGGTTGAATGTCTAGTACTTGAAAACCCTATAGCCCAAGACCACTAAACTGGAATAAAATTAAGCAGATACACTTTCATCTTTAAAATTCTTTGAAAGTACGTTTTCTCTGGTCAGCTATTTTTTTCTTTCTCTTTTAATCACTTGGCTCTTTCTCACTGTCCCTGTATATACACATTACTTTTCATCATTAGGGAGTCATTGCATACTTCATCTAGACAGTGCCCTGTGCTTTAAGAACCTAGACCAATTATAATTAAGGCAGGGTATGGATCACTGCATACATGGCATTAGTCCTTGGACACTCAGTAGCTATTAACCTACTTTAATAATTGACTGAGGCTATTGATTCCTTAAATATAACTATATGTTTCCATCTAAGTGGAACTGATTACAGTTTATAAGTCTGTTGAAGAACAGCTGACTTCTTAAAACTCGACTCACTTTAATTCAGGGACTCTGGAGACGACTCTTGACAACTGAGTGACCTCTGACCCATGGCTCACTGGGGCTAGGCTACCACTTGAGTCCAACTCAAATATTCTCTGAGTACAGCCAGCAAAATAGTACCTAGAGGTGGCAAGAGAAGAAAATGATAAAAGGAGAAGCCATCATTGTAAATCTAGAGTTACTGCCTATTTAATCCCCAGTTCACAGACGGGCATCCAGCCACAGATCTATTTTGTTAATTAGGTACCATTTTTTTTTTAAAGTAAAATATTTCACTTAAAAATCTGTATTCCAAGTGTAAACTGAAAAGTCAGACCTGACCATGCTGGGCCCTCCTTCCTTGCGGCCAGTCATGGGGGCCCTCTTTAGAAGGGTGGGCCATGGGTCTCCAGTTCACCAGGGCCCCACTGTGCCCCATTATTATGAACTGAATTATGTTCCCCCAGAATTCATGTTAGACCCCTAACCCCAAGGTGAGGGCATTTGGAGATCGAGCCTTTAGAGACATAATTAAAGTTCAATGAGACCATTAGGGAGGGCTGTAATCCAATCTAACTGGCATCTTCATGTCCTCACAAGAAGAGAAAGAAACAGCAAAAATGCCTGCACACAGAGAAATGCCAAGAGAGGACAGAGTTGGGAAGATGGTCATTTTATAAGCCAAGGAAAGGCCTGGGGCAAGCGGGGGAGGGTGGGGAGGAACTTTGCAGATACTTTAACCTTGGACTTCCAGAGAATCATGAAGAATGCATTTCCATTATTTAAGCCACCCAGTCTGCAACATTTGTTAAGCAACCCTGTCTACCACTCCCATTGTGCCTCAGAGTTAGCACCAGACCTGTACCTCAGAGATTTCTCCTCCCCTGGACCATTCCACTCTTTACCTGCCTGAGTGCAGGAGGAATCACTTTCACCGAGATGCAAATAGTTCTGTTGGGGGCAGAAGGAAGAGGGAAGTAGTGAGTTTGGAGGAAGATGTTGAAGTAGATATACTTAAACTAGATTAACTATTGAAGCAAAAACAGGCAGATATTTCTCACACAAAATAGGGCTACAATGAACAAAATGTTAACAAGTTTTATAAAATTGTACCGGGTACCAGTGGAACAAGAATATATGGTTAAGTTCACTGTAAAACAAAAAGAAAAGGAACTTTTAAGTTCACACTTTGTCTGTGCCACTTTCTGATTCTGTGCCTTTGACCTATATTTCTCAGCTTTAAAATAAATATAGTAGGGCAGCAAAGATGCATATAATGTATAAAGATGTCTAGAACAATACCGGGAGCAGGAAAGAGCAAAATAATTGGAATTAGTTATTCTGGTAGGATGCTTTCTGATACAGACAAAAGAAATTTTGACTCAAGGCCATCTAAATAACAAGGAATTAGATTGGCCTGACACCTGGAAATCAAAGTAGGACTGGGTTTCAGAGTTGACTTTTTCTCTATTCCTCTGTAGCCCTCTTAGTTCTGTCCCTAACTATGTACCAGCTTTGTCCTCAAGCTGGTGGCAAAATGGTTGATGCAGTGCTAAACTCCACAACATTCAGAAGAGAAGCTATATATTTATCTATATTCTTTCCCAGCAGCTCCCACAACTATCTTCATCCTATTGGATCAAATGCCCATGCTACTTCCTTATCATTAGAGGTTTATGGTTATCTGATTGGCTGAGCCTTGGGTTCCTGAGGAACAGTATCATGAGCTGAAAAATAAATCAAAGACCACTGATAGAGTTCTGATCAGTTAGGTGACCCTAAGGAACACAGGCCACTGGCAGAGGTATTAGATATCTGAACAAAATCAAGATCCTGTTGTAGAAGAGAATAATAGAAGTTGTGTAGCGACTTGACTATTATGTTGCTATTTCCATTAATGAAGAAAAGAGAATTTCTAACTTGTTGAACTGCAGTCTTCTTTAAGCCCTTTTCATGTGCTACAACTAATTTAATCTTCACAACAGTCCTTTGAGGTGGACTTTATGATGCCCGTTTTGCACATGAGAAACCAAGTGTCACAGAAGAGAAAGTCCTGGAGTTAAAAATCTGTAAAGTTGCCCAAAGTCAGAGTCTCATCTCTAACTTCATTTATTGTCTGTAAAATAAGAATAGAAAGCACTTATCTCATAGGGCTTATGAGAATTAAATGAGTTAATACACGTGACCTGCTTAGGAGGGTGTCTGGCACATACCGAGCAAGCAGTAAACACCAGCATTGTCAGAACTCATTCCAAGAAATACATGGTTGACCCAGGCTAAGAAACTCCATTACATTGTTACCACTAAGAAAGAAAGAAAAAAAAATGTGGCTAATTAACGTAAGATCTTCTTATCACTGGAAATTTTTATATTCATTGAAAGATGTATACACATCTTAAACATAAGTTGTCCTCATCAATTATCTTGTGTATGCATAAAAAGAGAAACGGAGGGGAAGGGATGGTACTGGGAAAGGATAGGATCAATCTCTGTTGCGTGCATGTAGGAATAGGGCATGATGAATCCACTATTACAGGTCATTATAATACACCAATAAAAACTTAAAAAGGAAAATACAAATGGAATAAATTGACTAAGGTATTTCTAGAACTTCCTTAAAACTCAACCTTCATTACGTTTCCAGTTGAAGTTAGTGATATCCATGTTCTTGCACATGGAATCATTCTTTGTACCCAGAAAAGTGCTCATGAGGAAGTTGGTGATGAAACATTTCCTAACACCTATAATATCACAAAAACGTGTACTTTGGTCTTATAACATGGTTTTACAATTATGTAGAGGTAGTCTTCTTAGGCTCTGGCTGTGAGATCACAGATACGCTGAAAAAAACAAATGGGTTTTAGCAGTTAAAAGAGGAATCTACTCCTATCTCCAGGATTGCTTTTCCCATTCTGATGACAGCCATTCAGCAGGTTTTATGCTGACACTTTGAATGCGTATTTGAGCTTTGCCAACCACTGTGCTACTGTAGCCACGCCTAAGAGGTTATGAAATGCTACTAATTGAAAAGATGCATTCCAGCTTTGGAGATCTTAAGATTCAAAAGCTGTGCATCTCAAAAATGATGAAATAAAGTAGTTTTCTTCTATTCTTCTATTGTTATCTGTCACTCAAGACGATAGACTCATAGTATAACCAAAATCAGAGGCCAAGAGCAACAGAGCATTAATCAAATTGATAAGAACTGAACATAAATTGTGTTCATACTTACTAAGAAAGTTAAGAAGTGAAAGGAAAGAGACACCAAAACTGTTTAGTTGAAAAAGTATGTTCTATGGTTACAGAAAACAGGCACAGAGATGTACTATCAAGTCACCCTAAGATATTCTTCTTCTTCTCTTTAGAAAGATGGGAAGAATCAGAAACCTGGAGTGCAGAAGCACTGAAATGTTCATCTAAGGTTTTCTCTTTGGCACTGTGAGCCAGGCCCCTGGCCTTGGTATTTTTAACAAGCTCCCTGGGAGACACAGAGACCTGATATTTACAGAGTAAAGAGACCACCAGTGGCCAATACTTGGCCAAGCAAGTGAGACTTCAGACAGGACCCGCTTGGGACGGTGTTCCAGGGAGAGAACTTCATGCTAGATGCTTAGTCTTAGAGAGAGTTGATGGAAAAGGAAACATGTTGTTTCTCCCATTTAGTTTTTAAAATTTTTCTGTTAAAAAAAACCTTAATTTTTACTTCCTTTTATTAATTATTTATTATTTTATGTAGAGTTTTAAAGTTTGCCTCGCTGGTTAAAAATTTGGGATTAATTAAGAAAAAAGGCTCAAACAGAAAGAATTCAAAAACCACAGATGAAACACACCTATGCCTTAACCTCCTAGAGTTCATAGTTTAGATTGTCCCAGTCTCCAACAGAGACAACTGCCGGCGTTTCAGGATTTTTGGGGGGGTGGACAGAAGTTCTTTTTAATGCTACATGTGCTAATCACTTGATGGAGTTCAAAAACACCCCAGCAATTCTCTGAAACTTTTACAATTACTTATGTCAGCCAAGAAGATTTGGAGCAACAGAATCTACCCAACCAAGAGATGGCACAAGAAGACTTCCCTCTTTTTTCAATGCCAAAATGTCCCTTCCAAATAAATATCATGAAATTTCTACACTTGGTAGGCAGCATAATAGGTGCTGCCAAAAAAAGACAAATAACGAATCTTCTCAAAGAGATCAGAGTCTAGTGAAACCAATAAATAATAATTAAAAGACAGTGTGACATAGTAGTTTGATAGAAAGAGAGAAGTAAAGAAGAAGTAACTAAATCCAAACTTGAGAGCTGAAATAGGTGTGTGTTGGAGGAATAGAAACCTCATGTGGTATGATGACTAAGAGAGATGGCTTTGCAATTTTCTTCACTCCTCTTGATAAGTAACCGCATTTTTCAGAATTCACTGTAGTTTAAACTTTTGAAGCCAAGAAAACGCAGAGGAACCAATTTTATATCTGATTACTTTGGGTTTTCTTGCCTTCCAAAAGAAAAAAAAAGTAGCTCATCTTTTTCAATAAATACAAAAAAAAATACTTATTCCTTCTCTTGAGACATTCATTTGACTAGAGATGTTCGAAAGATGGTGTTAACTGGATGCTTTGACAGGAAATGCTTGGGATAAACTGTGCTTTCATACCTTTACAATAACATTGACTAGCACCTGGAAAGCCAGGTCACTCTAGATGAAGGGGATACAGAAATTTTTTGTACTATTTTGTAACTTTTTAAAGTCTGAAATTATTCCAAAATATTTCGTTTTTAATTCAGAAAGAACAAAAGGAGGAAAGATGGAAGGAGCAGGAGTTTATCAGAGAAGGCAGTGCAAGAGGGAATTCTAGGTAAAGAACAGAGACACAATCCATATGGTTGTTTAAAAGACTGGAACACAAGAAAGGCCAGTCCAACAAGCAGGGAAGAGGGTCGATAGACATGACACAAGAGAGACCAGCTCATTGGAAAACTCGTATACTAGGCTAAGATTTTATGCTTGCACTTTGGTGTACTGTAAGTCCTGTGGTCTTTGAAGCAAACAAATATGAGTAAGGGAAACAACTAAGGAGAAAAAGCATTTACAGCATTGCCTGTATGATGTACATCTTTCATAGTTTACAATTTCTGAAGCCAGGGTGCCCCTGGGAATTGATGGCACTGAAGTGACTAAATAGTATTTGCATATTAGAAAGACCACTGGTGTCACGATGGGGAATGATTTGAAGGAAGGTGAAGCTTAAGATGAGGAAACCAGTAAGAAAGCTATTTTAATAGTCTATTTAAAAAGATTATGCAGAAATAGAAAGCCATAAACCCAACCAAACTTTGATTCAAACTCGATTAAAATTGCCATTGAAACCTCAGAGCACATATCACAATAACACTTTGTAAGAACTCTCAAGTGGAAGGAAAGCTGTTGGTGGAAAAGCCCTTGAGATTGCAAAGTCCTGAGACTAGACATCATGTTTTGTCATCAAAATACAAAACAATTGGAAACATTTGCCAATCGATTCCCTTAAAAGCATGATAAATAAAGAGAACTAGTCAGGTATACTGAACAATTAAATCTATACTATTCCATAAATTGATATTATAAAAAATTGAGGTCTGGGAAGTTGGCTAAAAGTGGGACAAGGGTTTCTAAGAATATTTTGCTTTCTAGATTCAAAGATTTGTAAGTTTTCTTTTATGGAACATAATCTTCAATTTCAAGATAATGGCAAGCTTGTTTTACATGCCTGTGCTTATATATATTGACTTATTATATGTTTGTTATAGGAATTTGCACTTGTTAGATTAGGGTTGCTATTTTAAAATTGGGTTTACTCACTGTATTTGTAATGCACACTGACTTCTTTCTGTAACTTTTCCACTATCTATGGATTACTTGCCAAACTTGTTGATTTTCTTCCAATGTAGACATTGAAAAGAATACTAATGCATAATTCCAAAAT